CAGCAAATGGAATTTATGATGCTCCAAAAGACAAGGGAATTTTTTTTCAACAAAAAATAATAAAAATCACTTTGTGGAAAACAGAAAGTAGAGTGGGGTGGGGGGAGCTCCCCATCTGAGAGTTTATCAGAACCTAATCCGCAGTGAACAAGCCCAGTTGGGGCTGTTTGCCCACTAATCCCAGCTGCCATTAAAATATTAAAGATAAATCTAATCGTCTCTTTATCCAAAATAAGCGACTTTTGTGTGGGGAGAAAACATCTAACCCTTTGGGAGGAGAATTAGTCCTAATGCATCAAATGGAATTCGGTCCAGGCTGGGGCGAAATAGGGTTTAGAGGCAAATGAGATGGTAATAGAAATAAAACCCAGAATAACAAATTAAAAACCCTCATTTACACGAATTAAAAGGGCTCACAAAAGGGCTGGAAGCCCAGCCCTACCCTCCTCAGCCCCCTGCCCACACCCCCCTCCCCTGGTCTCACAGGCCTAGCTTGTCACCCGCCTGCAGGCCCAGGGAGAGGACCCATGGTCTGACCTCGCCCCCTCAACTTGTGCCTCACACCTCTCTGCAGCCCTCCCCAGCTTCCCTCTCCAAGCCCAAGCTGGGCTCCAGAAGGCTCTGACTGAGCCTGTAGTCAGCTCCCCACACCCCCTGCATGGGTTTCTGTCCCACTGCTGTCTCTCGCTACATGAGGTCGCAGTTTCATTTCTGAAACTCCCTGGGCCCCTGTTTACTTCCTAAGAAAATGGGGATAATACTAGCCTCTCATCCTCTGGCCTTAACCCCTCTGCTCTTCCCTGGATTCAACAAGATGACATCAGGACAGCCCCCAGCTCTGTGCCTGATCCATGGTGACCACTCAATTGTCAAGTCTGGTCAAGCTCCCCCTCGAGGCTCCCCAGGCAGCTCAAGCACTTTCAGGACCCTGGGGAAGTCAGGTCTGTGCCCCAGGAGGAAGGAAACCTTAGCAGAGAGTCAGCTAGGGAGGCAGAGATGGGCAGACAGAAATAATTTTGAGTAACTAGGTGGGGTCACCCCCTGAGTTGTCATTCAAGAGGACTGAGGCCACCCCAGATCATCAGACTTCTCACTAAGCAGCTCTCTGTCCCTTAAGGTTGCCCTAGCATTGGCTTTGTGGCTCCCCCTTCATGGTGACATTTCAGGGGCTCTGATATACCTGGGGACACCTACTCACCTTCTGGTCTAGGTCTGAATCCCCTACATTAAAATCACACTCTCTGCCTCAGTGGCTGGATGCTTATTGAAGGAGATAGAGTCTCCTTCCAGCGGGGTCAAGGGCCCCTCTGTGAGTCATCACGGGTTGACAGAGACAGACAAGTGTGACAAACCCCTTCCTGGGAACCTGTTTGGACTGCAGTGGGGAGGGGTGAGAAGGGGGCCTTCATGCCTGAGGTACCCCATCACCCCACTGGTCTCTCCCCCAACCCCAGGAGAGCCACAATGCATCTCTGACCTCCCCCAGCCTTCTTAACAAATCCACTTGAACAGGAAACTCATGTTGACAGCATTTTATTATGGGATATTAAGTGGAATTGGATTGCAGGCTAAACCTTCCCTGGCTGGCTTTCCGTGCTTGGCTGGCCTCCTCCCCACTGTGCCCACCACAGTCCCTCCTCCCTCTGGTGTGTGCTAGGAAGGGGTCTCTCCTCCCATCCCCTTCAACACCTCCCCCTACCTCAACCCTTGGCGGTGCCAAGTGGTGATTCTAAGCAAGAAGAAATTGGTATGGGTGGGAGGGTGGAGAAGACGACCTTCTCCACGAGATGATAAAGGGACACATAAGGAGGTGTTGGGTGGGATGAGATTTTTCCAGACAGGCATCCTAAACCTGGGTTTTGATGGGAATGCACTAAGAGGAGATGGTCACAGGTGAAGGAGTTGGGAGGTCCACTGCTGCCAGCTGTCTTAGGACCTGGGCAAGGAGGTGGGTTCCTAGACTAATACACAGTTCTGGTTAGGAAACATTAAAAAATCATCATACAGGATTAGAAATAAGTAGAACATTTGTCAGTGCCTACCATGTACCAGGCACCATGGCAAGTGTTTTACATACATTGTCTCATTTAACCCTCAAACCCTGTAACGTGGATTCTTCAATTAACCCTATTTACAAAAGAGGAAATTGAGGCTCCCAGAGGTCAAGTCAACCTGAGATGGCATAGCTCGTAGTATTGAAGCCAGGTCTCACCCCAGCCATCTGACTCCAGAACTGTGCTTTTGGCCACTCCACCATAATACCTCCTATCAGGTGCTGTACCAACCACTTATGACAAAATGGGCAAGGTATAGTCTTTGGTGCCAGATGGCTGGCCAGACAGTGGATGCATTTGTCCACGATTCTTCCCTCTCTCTCCACTCTAGGCATAAACTTCCCTTGTGGAGGGAATTTTTTGCCCCGCTCCATTGCCTTCCGCCTTGGTCATGTGACTGGCTTCAGCCAATGGAATTCGGCAGATATGACCCAAGCAAAAACTTGAAATGGGCTTGTGTGGTCTGGCTGTCTCTGCTCCTTATGACCTTGGCCAGGAGAAGAGTACGGCTCGGTAGCCACCAAGCCTGAGGTGAGATGTATGAAGCAGGACTGGACCAACCTGCAGTTCAGAGCCAAGTCTAGCTGTGCCTGGACCCTAGGACCCTGAGCAAGAGATAAACTCCCTGAGATGCAGATGTTGTCTGTTACGCCAGGTATGCAGAAGCTATGGAGTTGAACTTGGATGGCCTTTCAAAGAAAGACTACCTATTCAGGTGCAAGAGTGTGGTTAGCAGACAGCCTCCAGCTGCAGCCTCTTAGAGATGCACACAGTGCCCTCCCCCACATTCCAGCTTTATTAAGATATAATTGACATATAACATTGTATAAGTTTGAGGTATACAACATGATGATTTGATACATTTATAAATTGCAAAACGATCATCACCATAGCCTTAACTACCACCTCCATCCCATCACATAATTATCATTTCTTTTTTGGTGGTGAATACAGTTAAAATCTCTTACAACATTCAAGTATATGGCACAGTATTGTTAGTTATAATCCCCCACTGCAGTGTTTGAGGGAGTCTGCCTGGCAGGGTGGGGGGGACTGGGGCTTGGCTATTTCTGCCCAACTCAAGGATCCTTTACTGGGCAATCTGCTCCAGAACTCCCTGTTAGATTGGCTGAGACTTTGCGAGATCTGCATCATGGTCTAAGGCTCTTCCTGTCCAGTCCTGCTTCCTCCCCCTTACCTTTCACAGGTGTCACCCACCACCCAAATAAATCACTTGCACTCGTAACCCTGCCTTGGCACGTGCTTCCTTAGAGAACCCGAACTGTCTTATTGCCACAAAGCCTAATCTGGGTTCAAATACTGACTACACAATTTACTAGCTGCTGGACCATAACCATACTGTGACTCAGTTTCCTCATCTTTAGAAAGAAGGTAACAGTAACACCCATCTCATAGGGTTTTTTTTTGTGAGTATTGAATAAGATGATTCAGGTACAGGGCTGAGCAAAATGCCTGGCACATAGTAAGCACTCAATAAATGTTAATGGAGATTGCCAGAGGTAGTTGTAAATCTCAATAAATAAATGCTATCTATCTATGAATTCTATATAGTAAAATACCAAGTCAACAGATATAAATCTAGGGTGGGTCTTAAAAGACTGGAGAGTGAGAAAGGTGGGCAGCTGAGTTGCAAGTGAGGACAAGTATAAAGCAGAAAAAATGAAAGCTTACAAATGAGACGGTTGATATATTCTGAGCCATCGTTTAATGAAAAAAGATGACCGGAAAAAAGATGACCAGATTTCTGTATGATCCTTCACCATCTTCTAAACACTTTCATGCATGCTTTTCTTTGAGAGCTCTCTAACAAAGCCAGGATAGGCATCACCGTCCCCATTTTACAGGTAAAGGAACTGAGGCACCAGGAAGCTTCCTGTGAGTTAGAGCACACAAGCAAGTACCAGAGGCAGGAACAGAACCATGCCTGTAGCTTTCCCTGCATAGAAGATGTATGGAAAAAGCACCAAAACAAAAAAGTAAGGGGCTTCCTGCATCAAATCAAAGTTAGATCACTGCACAAGCCACCACTCAAGATGCTGAAGGTGGTCGTCTAGATGGCAGGAGAAAGAATAGGATTAGTGAGCATCAAGGTCTATAAGGTTTGAGACGAGTGACAGATCCAAGAGATCCCCAGCTATCAAAACTCAGGAAAAGCAGATCTCTGCTCTGATGGCAAGCCCTTCAACTTTTCCCCGGGTCAAAACGTTTGGTTTCAAATGCGTCTTCATTCTATCAGTGAGGAGTTGCTTATGTGATAGACCAGAAAACAGTGGTTTAAACACTGGTAGAAGATAGGAGATGGAAATTTATTTCTCCCTATGTAAAAAAACAAACAAACAAACAAACAAACAACCTCACCAGGGCAGCGCAGGGTTGATACGGTGGCATGGTGGTTCTGGGTCTTCGGGCACCCAGATACCTGTTCTTTAGTCCACTCTCCTAATCTTAGCTTCCATCCTCAAGGTCACCTAATAGTCTAAAACAGCTCTTGAGGCACTAGCCATCATGTCTGTGTTCTAGACAGGAAGCTAGAGGAAAGGTAGAAAGAGCAAAAAGGATGTTTGTGAAATATCTTAAGGTTTTTGCTCACGTGTCGTTGGCGAGAACTTTACCAAAGGGACCCTCCTAGCTGCAAAGGAGGCTGGGAAATGTAGTCTTTTAGCTACAGACATCACCACTCTGAATAAAATTAGGGTGCTGATGCTAAGGAAAAAAGAGAAAAGAGAAACTGAGTGGGCAACCGTCAGTCTCATCCATACCATAGACCCATAACTTATGAAGAGACCTCTCTTCAAACCCTTCTGTTTGTAACCCCTTCCTAATCACAGCTCAAATGTGGCCCAAATAAGATTATTAAGGGAAACAAGTTCCCAGGCTGGATGGCACTGGGGAGTAGAGTTAGGTACTATACTCACATCTTATAATAGCTCGGGATCTGGGTTATAAACGACTCTCTCTGGTTTGACTCAAAAAGGAATTTACTGCTTGTCTCTCTTCTCCACCATCATGGGGTGTGTGGTTGCCTATTCCTCACTATGTGTTTTCACAAGACTTGCAGGATCAAACGATTCCTGGCTAAGAAACAAAAGCAGAATTGTCCCGTTCCCTGGTGGATTCAGATGAAAACTGGTAATGAAATCAGGTTAAACTCCAAGAGGAGACACTGCAGAAGAATCAAGATGGGTATATAAGGGGTCACACATGAGATGGTACACATTTATGCTGTGTCGAGGGCCCTGGCTCATACCATATCACACCGTAAACATCGCTACTCCTGAACAATTGGATGTGTTGTATTGGGAACGTATTTTTTTTTCTGTTTCTCTGCTTCTGCACTAGCAGGTTGGTTCAGTAATAAATATATAAGAACTTTTCTTTTCTTTTTTTTTTTTACAGAAAGAGAGAGAGCATGAGCAAGGGACAGAGGCACAGGGAGACAGAGAATCCCAAGCAGGCTCCATGCTCAGCATGAAGCCCAACACAGGGCTTGATCCCACGACCCCGGGATCAAGACCTGAGTCAAAATCAAGAGTCAGACGCTCAACTGACTGAGCCACACAGGCATCCCTTCAGGGTTTTATTTCTAAGTAATCGCCACACCGAACGTGTGGTTTGAACTTCTAACCCCAAGATCAAGAGTCACGTGCTCTGCTGAGCCAGCCAGGTGCCCCAAATATGTAAGATTTTTTTGTTTGAAAAAAAAAAGAAAGAAAGAAAGAAAGAAAAAGAATAAGGCCTTTCCTAGAAAGATAATGGGTAGTGCAGAGATTTTCCAGGTCTGGGACTAGAGTCAATGTAGTTACTGTCACCTCACCGGACCCTAGGTGCTGGAACTTCCACTGACCCTACCACTGACCCCGAGCAAGGAAGTCTGCTGCCAACCTGTTACCCTAAAACTTGATCTTACAGCAACGACTACTGCTATCATAGGGGCTTCTCTTGGGTTCTTGATCCTTTGTGTCACTGGCTCTCAACACAGAGTCAGGGAGGACTGCTTCTGCTTGGTAGAGCTCGGGTCACATGACCATGTTCTAACTGCGAAAGCAAACGTCTGGCATTTCCATTTTCATTGTGGCTTCGAGGGCTCTGTCTTCCTTGGGGACTCACCAGTTGGGGAATTCTCCCGAATAGGAATCAGGTTCGGATGTGGGACAGCTCACAAAATAATGAATGTCTGTTATAGGTCTTTGTAGATGTTGTTTCACATCATCTTCATGGCCACTCACTTTATGCACAACGAAATTGAAGCTCAGATAAGAGAAGGAACTTGCCCAAGGTCATGCAACCAATGACGGTCAAGCTGCCCGCCTCAGAGGGCCGAAGAGTAAGGAATTCTTCCTGGGATCAGCCCTTGGTGGTGTCTCTGCTCCCCCACCCCTCGCCCATCCTTCACTGGATGCAGCATCGCCATGGTTCCCTCACTCCCCGCCGTCTCCTGGGTCTCTGGTAACGCTACTCATCAGGTCATATGTCCATTGCCTCCCTCTCCTCCTCCTCCTCCTCCTCCAGACCCTCCTGCTTTTCCACCCATTTACAACAGCTTTATATCAATGGCTGTGGCAGGCTGCTTCACTGATCACTGGGATCTGCTTGGATCAGAGCCTTGCCCCTGAAGATGATAAACAGATGGAGGCTGAACTTCTGGACACAGGGAAGGAGAAAGGCCACAGGGACCCTTTGGGCAGGTTTCCTGTGGATCTCCCGGGAGAAGCCTGGGGCCTGCTGTGTGCACTGTTGAGACTCTATGAGGAGAACATAGAAACGGCTGCCAGGGAGACCTGGGCTCCAAGATCTCTGAACTTCAACAACTGCACTCTACCTTGGGAGAGCCTTTGCTGCTTTCCAATTTCTTTTGTATTAATCCCTCTCCTCTCCATCTACCCTCTACTCTCCATCACGACTACCACCTTCGGCCCCTCAACCAACCAGTAGGGTCTCTGGCCCGGACCAAGAGCTACCTCCTGACTGGCCTCCTTATTTTACAACTGCCAGCAGCTTCCCTTCACGCTGAGGATGACATCCAAAGTTCTTCCCCTGGCCCACGAGGCCTTGCAGGGCCTGACCCCTACTGACCTGCTACATTCCTGTCAAAGGCTCACCTGAGCCTTCAGCTGTCCCCTCCAGTTACCTTTGCCTCCTCACTGTTCCTCAGAACTACCTCCCTGGTTCCTCCCCAGGACGCGAACACCAGCTTTCCCCTTAACCTTAACCTTGCCACCTGCCACCTGCCCCCGGCCCGGCCCCCCCCCCCCGCCCATGGCTGTCTTCTCATGACTCAGGTCTCTGCCCAGATGTTGACTCCCCAGAATGTCCTCCCTGTTCTTCCAAAAGAGACCCGTTCTGTAATCTGTCTACAGCCCCCACCCTGCTTTGTTTTCTCCTTAATACTTTTGCCTTCTTAAATTATCTTGCTTGTTCCTTTACTTGCCTGTTAACTATCCCCCACAACCAGAACTTGAATTCTACGTAAACAGGGGCTTTGCTTTGTTTCAGCCCACAGTATTCCCACCTACAGTATCTGGCACAGGTTAGGTACACTATAAATACTTTTTGAAGGCACTGGGTTGTCATGAAACAGTCCTGTGGGATAAATCAGAACAAACACCCTCTCAGGGCATCAGGGATGTGGTCATTCCTACCACCTGAGACTGAAGGGAAACTGAGACACAGCCAAGGGGCATGCAGCAGGCTAATGGAACGAGTCCTCTAAGCTTTTTTTCCCCCCTCCATTGTTCCACACTGCCCATAGTGAACACTGGGGAAGAGACAAGGGCACATGAACGGAATGTTTTCCTTTTCCCTTGGGAGCTAAAGAAGGAAGCTTCCATGCTGAGGGTGGGAGGGTGCAGGGGTTATGGGCAGCTGAACCCTGGTGGGTGGTGTTCCGCTGGGATAAGATCCTCAGGGAGCTACAGGTGGCACCTAGAAGGTGACTGACGGGAGACAGGACTTTCTACAAGGCTGGCTTGAAAGCATTGTCCAAAGTGTGTTCCTTCCTTCCCACTCCCTGAGGCCCTCCAAGAAAAGTCCAAAGGGCATTGTTCCCTGGAGAACTAGGAAAAGAAAACGGGCCCAGGTGTGTGAAGTAAGATGTTCTTAGCAGCCCTGACTCTGGGGATTCACCCTCCTTTCCCTCAGTGGCCCTTCCTTCCCTGTCCCCCATTCTCAGTGAGGCTGGATGGTGGCTCAAGCATTACTGGGACTCCATTCGCCTCCTTATATCCAAGGTCCCTTTCTCTCCTTGAGGCTCTGATTCCATCTTCAGGAAAACCAGAGGTGCAGCTGGCTGGCTCAGTGGTAGAGCATGTGACTCTTGATCTCGGGGTCATGAGTTTGAGCCCCATGTCGGGCCTAGCGCTTAAAGAAAGAGAGAGAGAACAAGAAAGCAGTGGGTCTAGATTCCACTCGGCCCTTGGTGGCTGCATGTTCCTGGGGAGGTCACCTGGCCTCTCTGAGGTTGCTTCCTCACTTGGAAAGCATTATGATACACATCTTTCAGGGTAGCTGGGAGGATGCATTGAGACGATGTCAAAAAGTCCAGGAATTAATACATGTTCACCGTACATCAGTTAAATGTGAATCAGAATCTCTCTTGTTTTTCTCCCAGCATCAGCCCCTTGACTAAACAAAGAAAGTGGAATGTCGAGTCCAATGTCTGATGACAGGACGGTGATAGAGGAGGGCCTCTGAGGCTCTCTGAGGAGACCCTCAGGAGAACTGGCCAGCACAACAAAGGAGAAGGCTTACTCTCCAGGGGTAAGCCCAAAATACACAAGAGCATTTAAAAAAGTGAAACACGTTTATGGGTGACAGATTCATAATGGGATTATTGATTCAAACACACATCCTTTCTCTTCCTTGCATTTCCCCCCTCCTCCCTCCAAAAATTGTTGCTGACGGCTGGGTAGTGACTCAGGGAGGCGGCTTACGGGGGAGAAAAATGACTTGGCTACAGCTGGTGCTGAAAATGACCAGCACTACGGCAAGGGAGAGGGGTAGCCTACTCCCGGATCTCCCTCCTTGAGCCTTATTGTCTTATTTGTCACAAGGGGGACAAAACCCCTGACCTGTCAGAGAAATTGAGTGGATTCAGTGTGGTAAGGGGTCTGGCACCCATTAATAATAATACTAAGAGCTATGATGTATTGAGTCCCCAGGGTCAGTTACCATGCTAAGTGTTTTCAAAATATCACCTCCTGGGCACCTGGGTGGCTCAGTGGGTTACATGTCTGACTTCGGCTCAGGTCATGATCTCGTGGTTCGTGGGTTCAAGCCCCACATCAGACTCTGTGCTGACAGCTCGGAGCCTGGAACCTGTCTTCCTCTCTCTCTGCCCCTCCCCTGCTTGCATTCTCTCTCTCTCTCTCTCTCTCTCTCTCTCTCTCTCTCTCTCTCTCTCAAAAATAAATAAAACATTTAAAAAATTAAACAAACACAAAATATTACCTCCATCAGTCACTCCATGCAAGCTGGGACTGGATCTGTCCTGTTCCCTACCATATTGCCAGGTACAGTATGCTCCTGCAGGATGATAATAGAAACCAACACTCACAAGAAATGTATTTTGTACGTTCACAGTATAGCTTTTTGCACCTTTTCCAGCACTGTACATGTCTAATCTTCCTGACAATCCTAAGGGGTAGTTACTACCGTTATCCCCATTTTATGGATGAAGAAACTGAGGCACAGAAGGCAGAAAGAAGTTGGGTAACTTTCCCAAGGTCACCAAGTAAGTGATAGGGCAATGAATCTGAACCCAGGCAGTGTGGCTCTAGAGTCCATGCCCTCGGCCACAGTGCTAATTCAGGGGACCAGGGGGTACTCACAAGTCCCAGTACCAGGCTGTTTTGTAGGCAAAGCAACCAAAGCTAAGAGAGAATTTAATGGTTGGCTCAAAGCCACAGAACTGCGAGGCAGAAGACCCAGGATTTGGATCTGGTGTGACCTAGCTAGATGTCTCCAGAAGGGTACACTTCACTCCCCCCCACCTCCAACCTCCAAATTCGGACACCTGCCCACCCCTATCAGGAATCTGTCAGAAGTTCACATCTGAGGGTGGGACTGGCTTCAGGCTGACACTGGGCCCTCCTTCCACCTGTAGCCTCTGGAAGGGTGCCTCCCAGAGGGCATGGGGTTGCCCCCATCCCCAACTTCTAGGTCAAGGTGGTAACTATCTCCCTGAAGGCAGGAACTAGAAGCTTCAGATACAGGGTTTGGTCAAGAGATTTTTTCATCCCCATCTCCTGGCAAGAGCTGAGCTTCCATCACTCACATCCTTGCCCATCAGGTGACATCTGGCTTATCGTGGATGTCCTGTGATAAGTTAGCGACATGACAGATGCCATTAACGTAACATCCCCATTCATCCTTCCAGGGTAGGCTGACATGGAGAGGAGGCCAAGAGAGGAATGAAGTCAAAAGAGAACAGCTTTTGACACCAGACTCCCTTGAGGTGGAGTCTGGTCTTTGCCGCTTACTAGCTCGGTCACTTGGGACAAGTTACCTAACCTCTCTGGGAACCTAAGTTTCCATATTCCTAAAATGGGAAGGGAAAGCCACTGCTTTGCACAACTCCAGGGGGCACCACTCACATTGTTATCTATGTGACTGACGCCACATGGAACCCAAATCCATAGAATACAAGGTGGAGGCTACCTCAAGATTGCATATCTTTGAATCTGCACCTTGCAAGTGAGAATATCTATGCCACGTGTATCAACTATACGAAGAAGAAGAAGAAGAAGAAGAAGAAGAAGAAGAAGAAGAAGAAGAAAAGAAAAGGAAAGAAAAGAAAAAAGAAAGAAAAGGAAAGGAAAAGAAAAAAGAAAGAAAAGAAAAGGAAAAGAAAAAAATAAGAAAAAAAAAAAACCCAAAAAAACCAAGAATAGCTATGTCAACTTTCAGTTGTGGATCCAAGACACTAAAAGGGTTCTTGTGAGGACAGATTATGTTGCCTAAAGGGAATGAGCAAGATAGACGCACAGTAGGAATGACATTATTATGGGATGAGGAGGCAGGCCTTGGAGTGAACAGTTTACTTCTTCCAGACACTTCCCTCACTGAGAAATACCCCAATCTAATTCCAGCTCTTGTGTGGACCAGGCCACAGTGAGCGGAGACCCATCTCATAACAGCCCTGATAGCAAGACCTCAGTTTCCATACCCTATGGGGTCTCCTCTTACCTCTCAGTTTGGTCTCATGCCAACCACAAAGGGCACTAGACACCCTGGCAGTAAGCTGGGTTAGGAGGTTTTGATTTATTTGGGGGGTTACAGCTGACTGGCCAAGAAATCCTGAATGGAATCTCTCCCCAGCCTGGCTTTCCAGTCTTGGCCTAAGGAAGCTAACCCTGTCTTTATCTTGCCTGATAGGGTGAATTTGATTCAAGAAATATTTAAAACAATCAATTCAACCAACCTTATTTGTGAAGCAAGGAAATAAAGGCTTACTTCTCTTAAAAGGGAAAGAAAGAAGGAAAGAAAGAGAGAGAGAAAAAGAAAGGAAGGAAGGAAGGAAAGAAAGAAAAGAAAGGAAGGAAGAAAAAGAAAGAAAAAAGAAAGAAAAAGAAAAAGAAAGGAAAGAAAGATTTAAAACCTAGTGTATATTAGGCACAGTAGAGGGGGATGCCAACGTAGATAAGACAGTCCCCGGCCCCAAGAATGTTACAGAAGAATTAGCTGAGCTGGTGTAATGCAGGGGCTCAGAGGTCCATGGCAGGTGTCTGTGTGTGTGTGTGTGTGTGTGTGTGTGTGTGTGTGTGTAGAATCACCTTCACTTCACATTTGGGCCCAAGGGGATCATGTTCCCTGCAGAGCCCTCAAGCAGGAAACCAGTGGCTCCACTGCCCACTTTTGGAATTCAGGCTTTTCCCCAGATAAGGCTCCTGCCTCTCACCACTTTTCAACTGGCCCAGTTGGTGGCAATTCTGCAACTTCCAACACAGGAGTTAGTCAAGGGATCCCACTCAACTGGAGACACGATCTCACCTTTTAATGGTCTCTAACGCCTTCTCGCCACCCCTCTCCTCCCCACCAACAATCCCATCCTCTTCGTTCTGTGTGCTCAGTGAACTCTAAGGGATAGCCGATCCCTTGTGTTGTCTATCTGAATTACTGCAGAACCCCTGGCTCCTAGCTCAGAGCTGGTAAGGTGCTCAGTCCGTTTTAGTCGAATGAATGGATGGAAGAATAAATGAAGTCCTTCCATGGAAGCTGGGCACACGTCATGCTTACTCTAGGAAGATGTTCAGATGGCCATGGTTGTTCTCCAAATGAAATCACCACTGTTCTCTCCTACCAGAGACTCTTACTCTGGACCCCTTTAGCATTCATTTATTCATTGGGCCAATGTTTACTGAGTAGCTCTTCTGAACCAGGCACTTTATCCTGTGCCGCAAGGCAAATGTGGAGCCCTTCCCACCCACACATCTCTCTCTTCACACCCTGGCCCCCTCTTTTCTCCCATGCCACCACACACCCTGCCCAGCCCACTTACCCCTCTTCCTTGTTCTGCCTTTTACACAAGGATCCCATATTTGGGCTTCTCTGACCCTGTCAACCTGCACTGGACACAAAGGAGGGAGGAGGACTCCCAGCCTCTAGCGCCGGCCCTCAGCCCATCCTCCCACCCCACCCCAGGGACCTGGCCCAGCCAGGCTCTGCCCAGAATCCCAAGCCACCCAGCCTCCTGGAACAGCCCTGAACCTTGTTGACTCGTTTCAGCCCCTGGGGTCCCTGCCCATGGGCGTCCTGCCGAGTCCACCCGGTGCCCGGCCCCCAGCGCCCTGGCCCCTCGGTACTGCCTGCGGCGGGAGCTGCCAGCTTTTTGGAATTCCTAATGCTCCTGGCCCCGGTGATTGGCTGCTCAGCTCTGACCCCACTTGGGCTGCCGCCTGGTTGGATAAAAGGGGAATCTCCTTGGGGCTCCAGAGCATTAGACACCGGAGGGGGCACCTGGGACCAACTTCGCGAAGCGGGGAGCCCGGCGGGGGGGTGGGGGGAGCGAAAGACCTGCGGCCTCAGCCCCTCCAAAGAACCGGGAGATGACGGGGAAAGCGGGGGAAGCGCTGAGCAAGCCCAAATCCGAGACTGTGGCCAAGAGTTCCTCGGGGGTCGCCCCGGCCAGGTGCACGGGGTTCGGCATTCAGGAGATCCTGGGCTTGAACAAGGAGCCCCCCAGCTCCCACCCGCGGGCTGCCCTCGACGGCCTGGCCCCCGGGCACTTGCTGGCGGCGCGCTCCGTGCTCAGTCCCGCAGGAGTGGGCGGCATGGGGCTGCTGGGGCCCGGGGGGCTCCCCGGCTTCTACGCGCAGCCCACCTTCCTGGAAGTGCTGTCCGACCCGCAGAGCGTCCACTTGCAGCCGCTGGGCAGAGCGTCGGGGCCGCTGGACACCAGCCAGACGGCCAGCTCGGGTAGGTGAGGGTGAGGCTGCCAGGCTGCCTGACTGGGGGCAAGAGCCGGAGCTCCACGCCGTCGGCTTTCGCTGGCACCGCAAGGCCTCCCCCGGGCGCAAAAGTTCGCGCCTGGACGAGGGGTCGCAGCTCCGGCCTGGGGCTGGCGCGCCCGGGGCAGGGGCCCCGAGGATGCTCCCGCTGGCCGCCTGGTTTCGGCCCCGGCGTTTCCGGCCTCCGCGCTGTTCTCTCGTCCCCTCGTCGGGCCCCGCTCTGCCCCGGCGCCAGGTTGGGGCCCCACCGGAAACCGGGCTTGGCGTGTCGGAGCCCGTGGGGCGGGCTGCGGGCCCCCAGCTCCGCTGCTCCACTGCGGCCCCGGCCTCCCGGAGGACCCTCGCTCTGTTCCGTGTGCTGGAGGCCCGGGGAAGCGGGTGCCCGCTTCGGCCCCAGCCCTGGTATCCAAAGTTGTTGTTCCTTCCTCTTTTTTCTCCGTTCCACAACGCCCACGTTGGTCAGCTGGGGTTTATTTTTCACCCCACGCGCTCGGACAACCTGGCCTCTGCTGCGGCAGAAGCGGCCGCCGTTCAGTTGCTCCTAAACGCCACAATATATCCGATGCCGGCGCCTGCCGGCTCGGGGGGGCCCCCGGGACGACCCCACCGCGCCCTCCCTGGACTGCTTTCCCGGCCTTGCGTCCCCACCCGCTCGGGCTCCGGCTCGTGCTCTCGCTCGGCAGTTCCCCCGATTTTTCGTTTATCTTTTTATTTATTTATTTTTATTTGGAGGGGCAACGAAAAGTGGCGCGTCGCAGTCTCTCCAGTCTCGAGCGGGGGCGCATTCTGCAGGCACGGAAAAAAGGGGCTGTGCCCGGGGAGACCCCAGCCCTTCCCGGCGCCCAGCTCCCGGCGCCTCGGCTCCGCTCCTCGGGGCCAACTTTAAGGCCCCGGGCGCCGGGGCTGCCGGCGCGGGGCAGGGCGCAGCGCGGGGATCACCGCCCGCGGGCCCCGCGACTCCCTGAGGCTGCCTTGCTCCACCGCCGTCCCTGCCCCAGGCGCGTTGGGGCCTTTGCCTCTCTTGCAACGAAATCTGTTCAAAATCTGCGGATTGGGGCGCCGGCGCGGGTACAGCCAGCCGGGGTTTAGGGATGGGGTCGCCCTCTCGGAGGGCTTCCGAGGCGGGCAGAGCAGGCCCCCGGCGCTTCCGCAGGCGGCCCGGGGTGGGGCCCTCGCGGGCTTCGGGCGTCTCAAGTCCCCGGGCGCCGGCGAGCGCTCCCCCCGTCCTGCCGCATGTGCCTCCGCCCGCTTTTCAGATTCTGAAGATGTTTCCTCCAGCGACCGAAAAATGTCCAAATCGGCTTTAAACCAGACCAAGAAACGGAAGAAGCGGAGACACAGGTAAGGCCCCTGCGGCGCCTTTCTGCTACCTCTTCTGCTCACCCACTCCCTGCCGTGTCCTGTGTGGGGGTCGGGTCGCTCCGACCTTGTTTTCGCCGGCTCGTGAGTTGAAACCTGAGGCTGTGCCGGGGCGGGGAGACCGAACGTTGTTTGGGGGCATCCGCCCGGGACCCCGGCGTCCAGCCACACGGGGCGAGGATGGTGTGTGGCCTCCGGGGAGGCGGCACGGGGCGGGCTTTTCCCTTCGGGAGAAAGGAAAGGCCAAACCCGAGCCGGAGAGGGGCAGACGGCCCCCAGATTCGATCCCTGCACCAGCACCTTCGGAAAGCCGCGCGTACCTCCCGCGCACGCCGGTCCCTCTGCCCTCGGCCCCCGGGACCGCCTTCCTCTCCCGCGGTCCCTGTCCTCTCTGCCACACCCCCCCCAGTCTTCTGCTCCCACCGTTCCCCAAATCTTGAGCGTGATACCTGCACTGATGGGAATTTTTCGTTAGGCTTCGGCTCTTTTGTGATCCTGAGACAGTCTCTTCCCGTCCCCCAGCCTCGGTTTCCTCGTCTGTAAAATGGGGAGGGAAGGTGTGTGGACTGGCTGACCCCGCCAGCCCCAGCTGGAGTGGAGTGGGCTGCATTAGGGCACAGGCTAAAGGGAGAATTTTAAAAGATATGCCTTCAAACTGGCATTACTGGCACATTTTTGCAATGTAATAGGTGCTGAAAGGTAATTCCTGAAAAGTAAACCCTCTCCGCCCCCACCCCAGACTCTCATTCCTGTCCACATCCACTCCACAAGCTACCCGGTCCTTGTAGGAATTTATGGGGAGGTTTTTAAGGAAATAGAGAAGCAAGAACCAGAAATCTGCCCGACTGGCTGCAAGCACTGCCTCCAGACTCCTTCCCGGTGCTCACCCTCCGGTGTGTTTCCCCAAATCTCTCTCTGCGCACCAGTCTAGGTGGGATCTCCACAGGGTTCCTGCTGACTCTCCCAACATTTCTCCCCTGCGAGTTCTCCCTGCTGCATTCCACCCCATCCTCTTCTCCCCAATTCGTTCTCAGCCTCTTGGCACCCTTTCTCTGGGTACTTTTTTTGCATTTTCCTCTTCCTTAGCCCCTGAAAACCCCTCTATTGACTTCCACCTTGTAAAATGGCTTTTCCTGGCCACTAAGACCCCAATAGGTTCAGGCTGGAATGAGGCTGAACTTTGACTTGGTTTCTCAGTAACCCCGGCGGTGGTTTTGTTTTGTTTAGCTTCGTTTTGTTTTAAACGGAAGCATTGATCCTGGGTCACTTTGGACATTCATTCATCCAACACATATTCATTAGAACATTTTTTAGTGCGCCCATCTCGTGCTGGTCCCAGGGTGGGCAATCCTGTCAGCCTCCCTGAGCAGGGACAGACGCAGGGACCATGGAGGGAGGACAGTTCAGAGTCCGGGCTGAACTGCTTCTGTGCTGGTATGGAATGAGAAGCAGGGTTCACATAGCAAGGAGAGTTCTGGAAAAAGCATCCCCTGCATGCCGGAACAGTGTTTCTGTTCCAGGACATGTCCTTGTGTGGCACCTGGAGCTGGCTGACCCATAGCCCAAAGTCTATGCTTAACGGTCCTGACTGTCCTCCTCTGACACTCTCCCCTCTGAGGAGATGGTTGGGAGCTTTGGAGGCTTCTCTGTGCGACAGTATAACTCACCACCTGCCCTGGGTTTCAGGTTATGTCTGGTGCACGAAGGGAGCAGATTAGTAGAGATATTATTAGAATGGCGACTGATTGCCAGTGCAGCTTTTAATTAGTAAAAAATATTTTTTCCTGAACTTCTCTCATTTGAGGATTTCAGGTAAGAGACCCTAGAGTCTGGTGATGAGAGATGGGCATCTCTTTTTCTCTCTGAAATATGCTGGGCTTAGAGAAGGGAGGAGGGATGGAGCAGAAGCCTTGGGAGTCTCTCAGATTTTGCACTTCTCTGTAGTGGGAAAGCTCAGCTCTGCAGACAGGATGCAGTGGGCACCAAAAGGGGCTGGGGTTTTGCACAAAGCCAGGAGCAGGGTTTGGATCCCACTTTGGGGATACAGGAGGCTCCCTGGAGGGCACGTCGGGTGTCAACACAGGGATTCGCTCTGAGGCAGGACTAAGGGAAAGTTTGGGGGATTTGAGGTTTTATTTTGTTTTATTTTTCAATGAGAGCTCTCCCATGCAGAGGCTGGCACTTGAATGGTTCTAAATCTCTAAATGTCTCTTCTTTGGCTTTGGCCAAACTACAATACCTGTGTGACTTTGTTTCCCTAGTTTTGAAAACGGCTTGCATATTTTGATTGTTTATTTGGACGATCTCTTCCAGGGGCCCTTTAGTAAGTGACAAGAGCAAAATAGAAACCAGCAGATCTTCAAAATTCTGAAGAATTCACTTTCTGTATACATAAACATTCCATTCCCCCCTCCCAGGAGAATAGGAGAAACGATTTAGAATCAAGCCAGTCATTTTCTATAAAGGGCAGAATCTTTCTTCCTCACACATCCCTTGCATCATCCCCCAAGATATTAAAGCCGACACACCAGCACAAGGACCTACTGGGGCTTACACCTATACTTTTCCCTTGTGTTGGGTAAGGGTGAAAGTGAGGGCCGTCAGTGAAGGATTCTAACCACCCCCCACCCCCCACCCCGTGCTGGTCCCAGGGTCAGATCCCAGAGGCTCAAGCATGGAATGTACCATTTTTACAAATGGGTTTGTGGAATCTGGACTATAAGGTCTGAAAAGAGAAGAATTTGTGCCTTTAAGTGGATGTGTATAGTTCATGGAAAAAAGATGGGCTCCATGAAGCCCCTGATATTGGAGGTAAAATTTTGTGTTGGACCATATTCATTTGCACATTGGCCCAGGGCGAAAGAAAGGCTGTAGCTTGTACCAGATTTTTAAAACGGATCAGGACCCAAACAGGTCAATGGAAACTGCTCTGTGGGGAGTGGGGGCTGTGTAGGTAGGCTCTCTCACAGTGAGAGTGACCAGAATGGACCGCCCCGAAGTGGAGGGGGTCTGTAGGCAGCTCTAAGGAGCTAGTAAATTTGGATGCTGGCAGGGGAAGGGCCGGTAAGGAGGGCAAGGTGTTGGGGTGCATGCGGAGGTGGGAGATTCAGTTCTCAGCTGTACAAACACTGGGGTTGCAGTTGCATTTGACTTTCTGGTGGGTCTTTGAACTTGGATGTCATTAAAAGGTCAACGACCATGGGGCGCCTGGGTGGCGCAGTCGGTTAAGCGTCCGACTTCAGCCAGGTCACGATCTCACGGTCCGTGAGTTCGAGCCCCGCATCAGGCTCTGGGCTGATGGCTCGGAGCCTGGAGCCTGTTTCCGATTCTGTGTCTCCCTCTCTCTCTGCCCCTCCCCCGTTCATGCTCTGTCTCTCTCTGTCCCAAAAATAAATAAACGTTGAAAAAAAAATTAAAAAAAAAAAAAGTCAACGACCAAATAAAAAAGGATCAACTATTATACTACTTGTTGTCTGTGAGAGGAAACTGGGAAGCAGGTCCCAGGGGGCCAGAGGCTTTAAGTTATATGGTGAGTCCCTCACTCTGTGCTTAGAAGGAAGAAGAAGGGCTTTCTACAGTTTTCTAAAATTTCTGAACACCCTTTCCCCCAAATCGCTTCTAGAAAGACTCCCACTATGAAATGTCACCGACATTATGAAATAATGTCCTCCCAAGAAGGGCAGGGTGGATCTTCAGTGTTGAATGAAGATGAGTCTAGAGTGTTAAGCTATGAGTGTGTGTGTGGAGGAATTTATGTCGGATTGTGCTGAGCCAGCCTGTATTTGGGGTCTGTCCAGGTGGCATAGAGGAGGTCCATTCTATCCTCTCTGGAACAGTGTCTTTCAGTTGCTGAATCCTGAGTGTGTCATTTTGCTCCCCTTAGGACAATCTTTACTTCCTACCAGCTAGAGGAGCTGGAGAAGGCATTCAATGAAGCCCACTACCCAGATGTCTATGCCCGGGAGATGCTGGCCATGAAAACGGAGCTACCAGAAGACAGGATACAGGTAACAGAGCCCCAAGTCCCCCTCTCTCTCTTTCCCCACCCTCGGAGGCATTGACTGCCCCAGGCTCCCAGACACCTGTGACCCCATCTCCCACCCCCCTGCTATGGGTCCTTATGAATAACAGTTCATTTAAGCTGACAGGTATTTGCTGAACACCCACCATGTGACGTGGGCACTGTTGGGGACAAGAGACTTAGATGATGTAGCCTGGCCTGCTGTTCCAGACCCTAGGCTTCCTGAGGCATATGTCAGGCAGACTGTGAAGGGGCCTGTGGTGGGAAAAGGAGTGCTGGGTCGGTCATGGGCTCTCAGTGGGGTCTTTGTTGTGGTCAATATCTCTTAGGACAGCTAAATGTCTGCTCCAAGGCCAGAGGTGGGGAGAGGGGGAGAGTGGCTTCTAGCCCTGACCCCATTCTGTTTCCCTTTCTTCCACTCCCCTGACCCATGAAGAAAAGGTTGCCCCCTCCCTTTCTGTCTACTCCCCACCACGTCCATCCACCCATCCACCGGAAGCTTCTTCTTCCTCTCACACGTGAACAGCTGGCCCTGCCCTGGGATGTGGCTGGGGACTTGTGCCTGTAAGTGTGGCTCATTGTTTTGTTTTTTTAAGATTTTATTTTTAAGTAATCTCCACACCCAACATGGGGCTTGAACTTACAGCCCTGGGATCAAGAATCACATGTTCCACTGACTGAGCCAGCCAGGTGCGCCTCTCCTAGAGAGTTTTGCGGCATAAACGGCCATGGGTCTGGACAGGAGTGTTCTCAGCTGTGGTGGGTGCAGGGCTTCCCTTCATCAGCAGGAAGACCTTCCCAAGGCCAGAACATCGCTAGCTGGGCAGGAGGGTGGCTGCTTAATGGTTTCTCTGGGAGGAGATGAAGTCGGATGGTTTTCTAGGCAGGGCCTCCATGAGGCAGAAGAAGTGAGTGTGGTAGGAGGAGAAACATTTCCAGATTTGGATTTGCCTCAACTGGATCACATCCTTAAATGAAAGCTGCTCCCGTCAGTGGAATGGTCCAGAACAGTTCACTACTAAGGCTGGGAAAAGTTGTTGGTAGGGGGTGTCCTGACTTCCTGAAACCCCTCCCAGTCAAGAATCCTGGGTCTCCAGGTGGGATATGTGCTGGGGGGAGAAGGAACCAGATAAGTTGTGGGTTGTTTTGTGTTCTCTCATTGGACAACCCGAGAATTGGAAATGAGACATGAGCTACTTTTCCAGAAGAGTCTTCCTCTCCCCTGGAAAGTGATACGGAATTTCAGCCGGTAGCTTTAGACGTTGGCACTAACAATGAGCTCAATTACTCATAAGCAGATTATCTGTTTGGTACATTATCCATGGTGGCCTGGATCCGTCATCCCCCACCCAACTGGGTCCAGTGGGGTAAGCCTGGGTGTTGATTCTGAATCGTATGTGTGCGCGTGTGTGTGCGTGTGTGCGTGCGCGTGTGTGTAAGCCAAGGCCCCATCCGGTCAACGTGCAGTGGTAACCCATACCTGGCCCTTCCTTAGCACAAAGTTGGCTATTATGAGCGGCTGGGGTGGACGGCTGAAAAATGCCCCTGTTGTCAGGCCTCACTTTTGCACCACTGACCAGTAGGAAGGAACAACTAACTGTCTCTTGTGGTAGGTCGTCCTAAAATCTGTTTGGCCGTGGTGGTGACGGTGGTGATGGTGGGTGGGAGTGTGTGAGGGATATGGGGGAAGGCTCTTCCTCAGCTGTTACTGCGGTTGCCACAGATGCCCCCCCCCCCCCCGCTTCTCTAAGTTGCCTGGGGGCGGCGGGGTGGGGGGGGGCATCTATCCGTGGCCTCTGAAGCTGCAGGAACCAGCAAGGAGGAGCTAGGGTGTGGAGTAAATTGATTGCCCTTGGGACTGTGAGGACTGTAGAAATGGGAGAATGGAGACCAGAATCTCTCAGTCTTTGAGCACCACAGGGTTCTTTGGCTAAATGCTGCCTCCAGGAGGTGTTTGTGAGCTGTTAAATGTCCTTGCCCCAGGTGGCGCTGGGGGAGAAAGCCTTAGCATGTGTCAGTGACAATCACAGCTGTCATTTACAGAGCAGTCTCCATGTGCAGGTGTTCTGAATACATGACATGCACAGGGCAAGGGAGTAGGTAGGGTGATTAGGGGCACTGTTTCGGAGCCAAACACATCCTGGCTTCACCATTCCCAGCTGAGTGACCGGACAAGTTACTTCACCTTGCAGAGCCTCTGGTTCCTGTAAAATGGGGATGATGGTGACACCTGCCTGTTGTGCAGATGCTATGCGCCGTGCATAATGAATTCCGCGTGATGCCCGGGGAAATGCCCAGTGCTCACTCCAATTCAGCGCTGATCTCATTAAATCCTGGTGACAACTGAGGAAACGGAAGCACAGCAACTTGCCCAAGGCCACACAGCTAGCAAGAGGGGGGGCACAGGGTTCGAACCTGGGTCTGCGTCTAAAGCCCGGAAATTCACCACCTCCTCTTGAGCTTGAAGCCTGCGCTTTGACTTGAAGCTGGGGGAACAGAGATGGTTTGAGGTCAGGTGGGGACCTATATCAAACCTTTATAGAAATAACCAATATTGGGCACCTGGGTGGCTCAGTCAGTTAACGGTCTGACTCTTGATTTCAGCTCAGGTCATGATCTTGCGGTTTCATGAGTTTAAGCTCCGTGCTGGGCTCTGCGCAGGCAGTGTGGAGTCTGCTGGGGATTTTCTCTCTCCCTCTCTCTCTACTCCCTCCCCACTCACGCTGTCTCTCTCAAAAAAAATAACCAAAATTTGTTTGAGTACCAGACATTATTCTTAAAGAAAAAAACCTCAAAAACACACTCTCATAAAAAAAAATTTTTTTTTTGAATGGGCACATTCTTGTATATAAATTCATGGTTTGGAGTCTCTGACTAGTGCTGTTCCATTCTGACTTTTTTTTTTTTTTTTTTTTAGTTTTATTTATTTTGAGAGACAGAGAGAGCAACCAGGGGAGGGGCAGAGAGAGAAGGAGAGAAAGAATCCCAAGCAGGCTCTGCACTGAAAGAGCCAAGCAGGCTCTGCACTGATGAGGGGCTGGAACTCACGAACCATGAGATCATGACCTGAGCTGAAATCTAGAGTCGGATGCTTAACCGACTGAACCACCCAGGCGTCCCCCATTCTGCCTCCTTTAAAGGGATCCCTGCCCAAGGATAGGGAACAAAGTTTTAAGGAATTTTACTCCAGAAGATAGAAGATGTACCTTGACAGAAGGCTGCAGGGTGTCTCAGCCTGGAACATTTATTAGCATCCCAGGGCAGCTTTGGAAGACACCCATGCTGGGCTTCCAAGCCCAGCCGTTCTGGTGTGAAACCTGGGCATCTGTATGTTTTTGAAGCTCTCCAGGTGATTGTGGGCAGCCAAAGTAAAAATGCTGGGACAGAGGCTCAGGAAAGGAGTTTCTGCATTTCAGGTGGGTTCATATGAGTGGAGGGAAGTAGAGTTTGGGGTGACAGGGCGGGATGAGGGACAAGATGACCTGTCAGGTGTGCACGGAAGGATGCTGCCTGGGCTACTGGGAAATGTGGGCAAAGCCGCCCCCTACTGGACGTCAGAGGCTGCAGCAAGGCCCAGCTTCTCTGAGCTTGAAGCTGGGACAGGAAGGGAGACGCTGAAATATGGTGTCAGGAATGCTGAGCGCATGTGGAGTGTTAAGTCATTAAATCACTGCAGCAACGAGCCCAAATTAATCAGCTTCCAGCCAGAGGAGAGAGGAAAGAAGCTGGGTGAATGTGATGGGAACTGCCACATGGCCGACAGAGCCAGGCCTGACGGCAGGAAGACAAGGTTGGAGGGTGGGGCCTGGGGAGGCAAGTGCCCAGAATGTGCAAAGAGCATCCATTGTACAAGATGTCTCCTTTAGGGGGGACAGTCCTGGGAAAACCACAGAGGGTCTCCTGGGAGACCTTTGAGGGAAGGAGCCCTGGACATGTTGTCCGGTGGGAATGCAAAGATGGGAGCTTCCAGGACAGGAGAGAAGCCATGGGCACAACCACAGCTGCTCACGCTGGCCACACGCACAGCGAGAGAAATGGCTGACAGCCTTGCCTGGTCTGCTCCGAGTGCGCCCTATGGCAGAAGGGCACCTGTTTGGCAAGTACCCCTCCCCAGGTGCAGTCTATCAATGGAGGCACACACTCTTGGGACCCTCTCTGCCAGTTGTGGAGGCACCTGCCAGACTAGCTGTTGACAGCCAGAGGCATCCTACTGGGCTTTCTGAGCGCTGCTGGGGCACCACCTCTGAGGGGAAATGCACCAGGAAACCCAGATCCTTTCCCAAGCTGGAAGTTCTTGCCTGGAGTGCCAAATCTGGCAACTATGGGCGTCACTTTGGGTCCCTGCTCAGGCACTCAGAGCCCTGCAGTGTCAGGCAGGTGAGGACCATGACCTTTACACGGGTTCTGCTGAAGAGTTCCAGACCTGACCGTCGCATGAGAGGGGCAGTCTCTTCTAGAAAGTGGGCAGCCAGGAAACTGAAGGAGTGAGCAACTGAAGGAGTATTCGGCGCTTGCTAGAACCAAGAGACCAAGTAGGGAAAAAGATCTAGATGCTTAGAAGGAACCTCAGAGGTGGGAGCGGGGCCAGGAAGGACCTGGCTTTAGGTAAAAAGTTTTCCACTGAGCATTTTCTGGAAAGCGGAACCTCGTCTTGCTGCACATTTATCCACAGAATTCATCCAGCATCAGGCCAGGGGTCTTGAATTATTATTACGTGCCAGGCATTTCCCATGCACTGCTACATTTCATGTTTATAACAAACCTTCAAGAGGGTGGTATTACAGGACAGATGAGGCACTCAAAGCTCGAAAGGCTAAGAAATGCACCCAAGATCACCAAGACCGTTGGAGGCAGAGCAAGGATCTCCAACCTAGGCTTCCTAGCTTCTGATCATGGCCAATTTGCAGGGCCTAGGCTTCCTCGCTTCTGATCACGGCCAATTTGCAGGGAGCGTTGGGCACCTGCATGGGTGTTCTCTTGCATTTG